TTCCGCGTTGACACCTCGTCTCGCGTCACCATGTCATTCTGCACGATAATCGCCTTAACGGCAAATAAGCAAAGCATTTCCTGTTTGTTGCCGGCAACCGCCACCTGTCAAAGGACTCAATCAGGTGGTTATGAAGAGATCAACGTGTGCTTCGATCTCAAAACTGGTCGCAAAGAACCCGCTTTACGTTTTGATACTGCTAATCTGGCGTTTTTGACCGAAATTCGGCGCGTTTTACTGCAGCTTGCAAAAATAATAAATTTTACTTGAACGCTCAGAGAGGAACACAGCTTAAGAACTGCACGATCACTAATCATCTATTTTTTGACCATTCTTAGCATTCCGTTCATCTTACGTTGCTTTATGTATTCTGATAAGTTTTGAATTTGTGTGATAGCTGTCTCCTACATTTTGTCATTCGCAGGGCTGTCAAAATCTTGCTCGAAAAATTTTGAATTGTGCTTTATATAATGACTAGTAATGATTTGGTTGTTCAAGCGTATAGTCCAAATTTTCAAAGACTCTTGACAAGCATGTCTTTTGGTACATACAAGGTGTCCCAAAAATGTGCCTAATGTTTGATTTTCAATAACTCGCTTGTCATGAAGTCTTTTGATAAGCTTTAGGCATCGCTTTGTAGAGCTGGCTTTAACTTAGATTTACACTTGAAAGTGACCTAAATTCTCTCTTCATTACTGTAGTATTACGGTAGTAACTTCGTGGAGAGTTTTGCGTTATTGAGGGTCATATTTTACTACTGAGAAAGAACCAAGAAACCGAAAACTCCTATACTAGGTTAACCTGAGTTGCTCATTCCAAATATAAAACTCTCACTTCATTGTAATGTTTCTCTCGTAACTTATGCCAGATATACTGTTACAACAGATTTCTGATATATGGCAAAAAGTTAACCACACCATTCGAAAAGCTTTGCGACCGCGCAAAAAGTTCTTTATTAGAATCAGCATGCAGGATAACTTTGTCATGCATTTTTACAAATTTTTGAAAAATCTTTCTCGAACGGCCTATCTCACAGTGGCGCCATATAATGCGAGTTCCCACCGTAATCTTACAGTGATGAAGTGAGGGTGGCAATTCGCTCCGTGCTGTAAATCTAAGTTAAAGCCAGCTCTACATAATGGTGCTTAAACGTAGGCACATTTTTTGGGACACTCTATATATGTGCACTGCACACTATATTACAACAAGATGCACCTTAGTGATCCCTAATGTCAAACCCTAATGTCAACTACTAGAAAACATCGCTGTCGGTGACCTTCCCTTATAAGTAACTTGCATGTTCTGTAGAAATCAGCAGAGCACTTTACCGGTTCTGTTTACTTAGTGTTCTGTTTTGTCTTCCTGTGAAAACTTCAGAACCTCCATTAGTAAAAAAGAAACCAAATTTTTTCGTTGTATTTTGTTTAGTATTTAATTTGTTTATCTATTTGAAGCTAATTAAAATTGCTTCTTTTTATAGTATATTCTCTAATCTAGACCTTTTTCCGACCATTTCTTTCCGAAACATCATAACTGGAAGCTGGTCTACAAATGTCAGCTTGTAAAGTGTTATGTTTCTGATCATAAATAGTGTTTACTTAGAAACTACATCTTGGCATGAAATCGATAAAGTGCACGGACGTTTCCTCTTCACTACTTCGTGTACTCAAAAATCAGATTTTTCATCTACGGACAGATAATTGTAATAGGTCACTCAAAATTTTTAGGACATGCTTTGCCTGGTAGTACTCTCTTCTTATCATTCGAAGCAAAACTGAATGCCTAGCCTCATAAGCCAAACAAAGTCTGACTTTCAGTCCAAAAATCAAAATCATTAATCACTCCGGCTGCTTCCAAGCTGTAAGATAATTAATCTCCTACAAACAAGTCTGTTCGTTCTTAATGCCTAACAGCATTAGAAATTGAAGAGACGATATAACCCAATGGCGAAAGATTACACTCTGACGGAGGAAGCAGAGTCGGACGCAGTGAGGTTTTCGTGAAAAATTCGAGCTGCCATATTGCCGCCGAAAGAGCTCAAATGTGTGCGTTGAACGACAGTTGTGCCTCCCTCACCCACTTTGTTCTTAATCTATACTACTTTGTCCTTGTTATTGATTATAGGTAATTTCTTGATTTGGATGGACTTTACATGCTTCTTACCCGTGTTAGCGATGCCATTTGTGAGATTAGCAGGTTGTATCTTTTACTCATTCAGAACTTTGCAAGCCTATAAGCGCCGGGATCTGTTTCCTACAGATTACTGGACTGCTCACTGCTTCTCAAACATAATTTATCAACCTTTATTTCTGATACCTCTACTATAATCTAACTTGCTTTATCTAAATTCAGCATTGATGTTATTGTTACTTCTGAAATTTTCAAGATATAGAATCCTTTCAGCTGCCTAGGTATTTTCATGGGGGTTCACTTTCAAAGTATCAGCTATTCAAATTGTTGCAGAACTTCGTATGTGCTTGTGTAAGCGAAATTATTTTATTTTGAGCAATTTATTTTAGCCTTAATCGGAGAATTAACCGGTGTTACTATCCAGAGCCATTTTCGCACAACAACTTCAAACGAGCTGTGACTGGGAAGAAAAGCTTATTTATGGCAAAGTTTCTAAGGACCTATTACCGAAACCCTTCATTTCTGGAAAGTCTTTATGCTAAATACTTGTCCATCAATTTGGTCTCAATGGTTTCTTTATAAAAAGCTTTCTGTAAAACTTGTTTCTAGTCGCAGTTGAGATATCCGACCCAAGCACTGTCACGGTCAAGGAAGTATAACATTAGGTTGGCAGAAAAATTACTCGTAGTTTTTGACGGTTTCCAAAAAATGTGGAAATCCTAGGGAATGTAAGGGATCTCTGGGAAGTGTAAATTGAAGGCATGCAAAACGAAAAAGGTAGAAAAGTGATTTTTGAAAACATAAACGCATAGATATTTTAAGTGAAAATCTTGAGTGATTGATATGTAATAGTAGAGGTCTACTGTTCCAGTAAAGATTTTGGGTTAATCACATCAATCAAATTTTACTTGCATGTCAAAACAAAGTAGTTTTCTGGTTAACTCAATCACAGATTTTTGTTTGAACAAGGAAAGCCTCTTCGTGAACGTCCTACAACCACTGTGTTAGAATAATAAATAGCCTACCATGATTTCGTGAAAATGGATACCCTTTAGCTCATGAAAGATAGAACAACCTCTTACATGTTACAAATAGTGCCAGTTCCAGGAGCGTTCCGCTCTAGTTGTCTTCGCCTTGCTCTTCCCATTTCTTTCTCGCGCTCCGTTCTGCGCTGGTCATTTTAGAGGTTTATCCCCATTTACGACGTCATGGCGCACAATTCTCGGAATCCGCTAATTGACCTTTCAATCCTTCCGGCTGGTGGCTATTGATCTGGCATTAATCCAGTTCTAAGAATCCCTACTAGAAACAAGCATTTTCTGACTACATATTCTTGCTGCCGATCTAAGTGTTTCTGTTTGCTCGGATTAAGATTCGTTCATCACTTTTTACAGCGAAAAGCCAAAAGAATAGCTAGCAAAGTTATAGCGGGCACATGAACTAGTTCCATTGCTTTCTCATCATACACATAGTGGTTTTTTATCGGCTGTTGCCATCAAATAGGGGTGTTTGATTGCTGTTGAAAAAAGTGTACTCATGGCAAGCTATCCAGATTACTACAGGTATAATAAGACCTCCAAATGGATTTGATTCACTAGTTCGGTAGATTTTTTTCATAGTAATAGCGCAAAGGATTTACTTCCTATGGGATAATTTCGCTTTACAACTATGACTGGGTAAGATGCGAGTTTTTTGGTCTTTGAGATCAGTCTATAAAGTTTTGTCACGATCATGTCTGTCCACTTCGACTCGATTCTCAAGAACACTACTACCTTATGAATATTTATATAAGAAGTGTCGATATCGAGTGTCATTGAGTGACGGCGACAAGATGAGTTTGGTTACTCTAGCGCCGTCTTGTCCACTCAATTCCTCTACCGAAAGCGCAACTCATCTTCTCTACACCCTGCTATTTGTCTACTTTTTTCACCCGTGACACGAACCTTTTCCCGCTGAGATGTGAATTACAACCTTTAGCCAAAAATTCTAACCTAAAACCTGACTTATAAGCTGTTGGGAACAGATTGCACTTGCTTTCTCTCGCCGTCTCGGTGTGGCTATTTCCGGCATGCTCGTCCAAGCGAGCTTACATTCAATTATATGTCACTCCAAATGCTAGAGAAGCATGCAGAAATGGCTGCTATAGTGGGCTGAGAGATTCAAGGCGATTGAATTCATCGTGAATCCCTATGCAGAATAAAAATATCCTTTTTCCGTCAACAATTTTGCAGAGCCTGGGGCCCGAAGCAAACTCCTTTACCTGTAAAATGTTATAAAAATCTCGCGAAATAGCTGCTTTATGTTCTGGTGTGCTCGGTTATATCCAGCTGTGTAAATAACCCTAGAGTTCTCCGAAGAGAAGAGACAGTGTATGCCTAAGTTTAGTCGATATTATTCCTAACAAAACTTATTAACATGATAAATCAAATCGAGAAAAATTCTTTTTGGCAGAATCATGCGCTCGAATTGATGGCTCTGCTTTCGTACATAATTCCCTTTGGGCTTCCGTCACGCAACCTAACTCATATTTATTTTATAAAATTGCACAAAGTTATGTATCGACAGTGAATTGAGTTGCTTTAGAGTATGTAAGTTTTTATTGCTCTAATAACGTTAAGAGAATTTTTCTGACAATATAATTTGCATTTCTGCTCTTCTCCACAGTTTCTGAGCTATTTGGCAACCGCCCACACCACAGAAAAATCGTCTTCAAGTGTTTTCTCTTTTTGCACACCTGTCACCGTAATCTCAAAGGCCATCAAAACGCTATCTTTTGCTTGCATATCGTTCTTCTCCACTCTGCGTACACAGCCTTACTGCGCCATACAATAGAAGAGTATGCTAGGTTTGTTTGTCGAGCGCTGGTTGAGGTGATGTTGAAGGTGATCGCGAATTCGGATTCGGTTGTCCAGGAAATGTTTAAAATTCTGATTTTCCGAGGAGGTTTGTGAATTCGAGTGCAATTCTCGCCAACTTTGCGCGAGGTGTTTCCCTAGGCGAATGCGTCCTGTAAAGTGAAACCAACGAAGAGCGGATGGCCAGTGCTCATTACACACATCACGGCTTCTCCCTAGTTTTGTGGTCCGCTCTTGCGGGGGTCAAAAGAGCCGTACAAAGGCTAGGACAGGCCATAGGCCAGCCGGGGGCCTCCCGGCTTGCCCGAGTCCAGGCGGCTGTGCGAATCGATGGGACAACGAATGACGACGACACTCAGAGACAGAGACCCCCATAGACAGAGGGGGCACATTCATTCCCTCCGATACCCCCACGATAGATCGGCTCCGCGAAAATTCATCTGGATTAGCCTTGTTGAATTCTGTGCTAGCTACTCATCACGACTGCATTTGCCTGTTGACCATAAAAAATGCCATCTTTCGAGTTTGAGTGGGAATAAGAGGATATGACTAGCGTTTTTTGTTCTATTCCATTACGTCGGATGCGTTATGATTTTCAGATCCTGTCTTTGCCAAGCATAGAAAAAACGTTGTAGCTTGCATTTCCCCAGTAATTTTCTCAGTTCGCGTTTCTTCTGTATCTTTTCTATTGAGGTGTTGAATGAAGCAACTATTTTGGTCCCATCGCACTAAAAATAACCTTTTTTGCAGCTTGCACTAGTAGTTAATAATTTTTGAAGTTATCATTTATGCTCACTATCAAAAATTTTCTTATTAGTCTGTCCCCACTAAATTCTATCCCCTTGTTTTTATGATTTCCTTTACTCGCATCTTGTGTTCTCGTGAAATTGACAATTACTTCTTTGTTTATTTGACTGGCATTTAGGTCCTTGACTTTCAACTGTTTTTTCCTGAAAGCTGTGTAAGTAAACAAATTTAAGTGGTCCATTTCATATGCAAAATCAATTTCGTTAACAAATCCTTGTTTTTAAATTGAATTTATGAATTTTTAAAATAATGAATCTCAAAAATTGTTCGCTCCGATTTTGCAGTGCGTCATCCCTAATTTGATGTCAAGTAGTTGGGCAAATAGACTTACTTTTGAGACCTCCAATCTCAGCGCTGCTCGTCAACCAATTTTACCCGTTTTTGCGTTTCTCTTCTTCACAAATACCCGACAAAGAACTTCGCAACCGTCGTGGACGTCCTTGACACTCGCTCGCCCCACCACACATCGTTTACTTGCGCCGTTAACTTACTGCTCAGTTATTCGAGAAAATTTTCTTCCATACGTGCTACGAAAATTGCTGCAATTTTTCCGAAACATGAGATTTTTGTGTTTTACAAAGCTTTAATAGTCACATCTGCTTCAAATAAATTTTGTACGATGCTCTAGATTTGCCCTTTCCTCGGCTCCGTGCTCGTTTCATTCGCAAAATGATATTTGTACGAAAATCGGTTAATGGTATAAGTCCGCCACTACCATAACAAAGTGAAGGTGATTATCGCTATCGACATCAATCATCTAATCCGATCCGATTTAATCACCTTCTCTATCTCTTCAACATGTTCGCTGATTTTTTTTTTCTTCCTTCCCCTCGTCTCCCATATTGTGCTTACCTCCTGTGCACATAGAACCTCATTATCATAAGGTTAATTATTCCAGCGCACAATGCGGGATCTTTTGATCTTAGAAAGCGACAGCTGATAGCATATCATGTAGCTGATAGCGACAAGGAAAGGGAGGGTTAGGAAGAGGAAGTAAAAAATAGCGAGGGCGAGAATGAAGGATTAGGGAAGGGGTGTAACATATTTGTATTGTTATTTCATACTGAGCAAATTCATGTTCGAGATGATGGCGTTATTAGTGTAAATATAATTTTTCCAAAGGTTGCCTAAATCAGAATTGTGTTGATCTTCTTTTTTCTGCTCTGCCATTGCCGTCTTAACAATAATCCATTCAATGCTATTTACTAAAAGAAATTGTTTTCCCTTTTTTCGCACATTCAAAATTGCGTCCGATGATTTCTTCACTCAATCCTTCACACTTTTATTTATTCATTCTAGTTGGTCCATAATTGCTCTAATTGTTTTTTCGCCACTCTTACAACTTCATTCTTTCGAGAGCCAAAAAATTTGTCGTTCACAATCTTTTCAGTCGCCTCCCTATTTAATCACTCTTTCGATTTACCTAATCCATCATTTTTTACCCGTATTCTGCCTTCCCCATCTTTGCATAGTAGTTTTGCTTTATTTTCAGATTTTTGCTCCAAGTGCAATAACTTTTCACCTTTGGTAGTATTTTTACTTACGGCTCTTTGCTGTTTTCCAACATAAATGTAAGTTTCCACACTTGACAAGAAGCCCTTTTTGCTCCTACGAAAGTTTTTATTTCCACCATCTGCACAAATTAATATTCCGCCATCAACCGCAAACCAAAAGAGCCGTTGTTTTCGCACCGACCATAAAGAGTCCGATTTTCCTCTGCATCTAATTGCGTTTACAGCTCCGCCGTTGAATTGATTTGCTTCTGTTTTTTTCTTGCAATAGCGCTGATTTTGTGCTCTTTGTATAGTATAGCGAATGGATTTCGTCAAAGTACTACTTTTATCGATATTCCTGCATCGAAAGAATTCATGCATTGTCAAGGCATATGCTCATAAAACTTTCCGATGCCGTTAATGTCACGATTTTGTGGCGACGACGATCTCCTTATGACGGGCTCGGGCGGTATTTGTAGATGTATAACGAAGGACAAACCATCTTCATAGAGCGGGAAACAGTCTAGAAAATACTGGGGTCTCTCGGAAATCTTCTGTATTTTTAACAAATTCTGAATCTTTGCAGCATGCTTGAGCTACTTCTTTGTAGTCCATAGTTCTTACTGAGCTACTTGTAATTCTACGCCTATTTCGAACCGATGTTGATGTAACCAGATGTGAATTATGGCCTCATACCATTGCCTTAATTACGCTTTCAACGAAATTCGAATCAGTGAGCGTTTCTGAACTGGTTCTTTGCCGGGTTTGTTGCCTTTTGGCAGAGTGTAGACCTGTACTTATCGCTGGAGTATTTTATGTTGTTATTTCTTCTGTCTGTCAAAAACTGGAAACTGTTTGCTTAAGCTTATCGCTTTCAAATTTTTTAGGTTATTATCCTATTCCGACTTTTTTTTTACTTGAGAAGAGCAAATACAACATCAGGAGCATAATTTTTTTAGTCACTATTGTTACTAAAGTAATCTGGTGTGCATCTCCCTTCTTCAAATTTCTAATGTGTAGTCCGTTTAAGCAAGTTCTATTAATCACCAATTTTCTAGCAGACTGCTTATAACATTTTACCATCCGTTACCCATGTTGAGACGATTCATCTATTTTTTCCAACCCATTTCTCTCCCAAAATTTTCCACTTCCTCGAATTCTTCCTTTTTGTATCAAATTATCGAATCTCTATCTCTCCTTGTTTTTCAAGCACTTTTTCATCTCCTTGTAAGAAGAGAACATTTATTGTTTTTACCATCATTAGCGTTAGTAATTTGTACAGTGCGAGATTCTACTCAATCATTAATTCTAATGATGGCCTTCTAAGGTTCTTAATTGAATTACCCACACAATCGTCTAAGTAAGTAATTAATTTGATTCAGCATTGCTTAATGTACAGTTCAAAAGCCGCATCAAAAGTGACCATATACCATATATCGATCAATTGTACCATCGATCAGAATCGGATTGTTTTGTCAGTTGTCAGCTGAACGCCACTTTGTCTCTCATCATGTCTACCTTTCATGTCGAATTTGATTCTGGACTGACTGTACTGTTAATGTCGAAAGTTGCCACCCTATGACACTTTTCTAAGACCAGTCCTAGAACGATGAAAGACTAAAATGACTGGCAAGGACGTGAACCCAATGTCGCATGTCTTTTCTCTTCTTCACATCACCTTTTGTCTAAATTCTACATTATTACAAAAATCGCTCTTTCTTCTACAATTTATCCTCCTGAAATAAAAACCATGTAACCTGATACGCAGTATCTTTAGCGCATCTTGAAGATTCCAGTGAATAATAGAATGACCTGTTTTTTATATCGAGGCTGCAGTTTGAATGAATCGAGGTTTTACGTTGAAATGCCTCACAAAGCGCCGTGTGGCGGCAGTTCTATCCCAGATTGTCTCAAAACATAGGAAAGAACAAAGTGCCATTAACAGGGTAAAATTTGAGTTGGACGTGGTTCGTTAGTTTTCATCCCCTCGGTTTGAAAAAAAAAAACTTATCTCCCATTTATTTTATGCGCTCCAGGGTGCTCCACAAGATTTGAAGGGAGTTAAGCAGCTGAGACATCACATTTCTAGAAGGGAAAGGTACATTGAATCAGTTGAAATTTGTATATTTGTTCGTTTTTTTTTTTGCTTTGGTAGGTTTTTAAAAATTCAAACTAGCAAAAAACTTAACTTGTTTCATTGACCAAGTGTGTGCAAGCTGATAGGTCTTACAGAGGTTGTAAAAAATTAGAGAATAGCAGTATGCACTATGTAAGTATGTGGACATTATGTCTCCCCAATCTCATCCTCCCTCTCTTCTTTTTCTATAGGACAAGAAGTAGCTGAAGCTTCTCTCACACCGAAAATAGAAAAGCTGTGAGTTCCTTTTTTCTCCCCCCCCCCTTCGTATCCAACTAAAATAGGTCGTGTAATGATGGAACTGTTCAACGTGCATTTAAGCTTCGCGTGTACCACAGCGCTAATTACATTCTACCACAATGTGAATGTGGCAATTTTTTTTCAAGTTTTGGGCGGAGCTCTTCGGTCGATTTCTATAAACGTGTCGACTGTAGTGCACTTTCGTTATTACATTCGATTCTGTTCTGTTCTGTTTATCAAAGGACACCTGCTCGTAACAGGCTCTGTCTCCATTCTCGAAATACCAAATTGAAATTACTGCGAGTATCACCTTTTAGCTGTTCCAATGGGACCCATTCCGGTAGAAAAGCGCAGATGGATATTTTTGAATTTATATGTCAATGAACTGCCTTTTTCGGCAAAAAAATGCATGTGGTTTACTTCGTGCACCTCGTGCAAGTTTGCGTATGCTGCAGTAGGCACTTGCCAGGGTAGACATTACCTCTATCATTACCATTCTTGAAGGCACTGTCTACCCAAATTGATGAGTGATTTTGAAGCTATATAGTATGTAGTTGGGGCTCCTAACTAATTATTCGCCCAAATCCCGTTTCAAAGAGTGAATTTTGAAGCGAGAAAATCGCTCCAAAAAGGTATGAAGTCCAAGGTGGCTCCGCCCATCTACGTGGGTGGTTTGAAGATAATAAGTCCAAAATTGGGCTCAAATGTATCTAAAGGTGACATAAATGCAACATCTATTATGATTACCAGAGTTCTAATATTTCTATCTACTCTGAAGCGAATCCACTTTCGAATCCATTATTTTCAGACCACCCATACCAAAGGGCGGGGCCGCCTTAGCCGCTTCTATCTTCTGAAGCTTTCTTCTCGTTCCGAAATTTATCTTTTGAAGCGAGACTTGGGCGGTTACTTAGGTAGAAGGTCCGCTGTCATACTTCATCAGAATCTCACCACATTCAATTAAGGTTGGACGGTGCTTTGAGAACCTGCACCATCGTTACATTTTGCATTTCATCCAGTCTACGGTCCATCGTTTTGCTAAGCAGAACCTGATCTTGAAACTCGTCATTTGTACACAACCCACACCGTGAAGAGCGCTCATTACCTGGGGCAGGAGAAATCAGGATATGAAGGTTTTTTTACCGACTTTTTTTGCACTCTGTTCAATCATCGCAGCCCCTGACATACGCTTAGTGTACTCTGTAAAGGGCAAGTCTTACGGCAGTTGCTCTTCGATTTCTTTTCACCTAGACTTTGCAAACTTACGTATCCATTCATCTTGCAAGAAGCATGCTAGGTGTTTCCTTTTCTAGGGAGGCAAAAAATAGACCTGCACTATGAAAAATGCGTTCTGGGTTTGTTTTTCTTTCTCACCTTCACGCACAATCATTTCTATAAACATCACCAAAGTATTACTTTTTCTAACTCACAAAAACAACTTTATTATGCTTGCAGTCCCATTTCTTGCTTCTTGAACAAAAAACGTTCGCAGTTCATATTTGCACTTCAGTAACAAATGGCTTGCCTCTTTTAGGAAAATGCGTCAAGAAGAGTTTTTGTAAGTAATTCGGTTTTCGCGTCTCTCTAGAAAGAACAACACAAAAGTCTAGCAACGTTGTGAGTTTCTGTTGTGAGTTACGATTTTTCGATTAAAGTTTCACTTTTGTAAGCTTTGCATTAGTTTTGCCACGCTTAGAGACCTAATCTTAAAAAGTTGCAATTCATAGCATCTTTTTCATCCCCATCATAGGTGCGATAAGGTGAGAATGACCTCTCCAGGGTGAAGGGGGTCACGGTGGTCGCAGCCCCTCCAGGGTGAAGGGGGTCAGAGGGGGTGGGGGTGGGGCGGGGGGGTTGGGGGGGGGGTGAGTGCGTGTGTGAATGTGGGTGTGCGATTACACACAACGCGCCGCCAGGAACGGCATCGTTCCTTTCACAACCTCATTTTATGAGGACCGTTTATAAACGGTCTGAAAAAGTGAGTGTGATCAAAATTATTGGATGGTACACAAGTGCAAAACTGAGGTTTTTGCAGGCGTAATGTTCGAGAAGGAAAGGTTATATACAACGCTTGCCACTTGCTTCATACGAATATGGGATGAAGGACCGGACCGACCGATGACTATATTCTTGTCCTAATGTTGCCTTTTCATGCTTTGTAATTCAATGAAAATATTGAAAGATGACGACTATCAACTATTGTGAGGCCATCAGAAGTTGTAATAGAAAGTGGTTCTGAGAAGTGTGATGATAGGAAGTATCAAAAATTATGAATGATGAAGCACGTAGAAAGAAGTAAAATATTGTCTGCCCAGGAAACTCTGAAAGATACAGTAAAATTATTGCATGTATAAATGGCCATTCTTGGTAAATGTGCACGTAAATAATAAGAAGGAAACACACGGGAGCAGGATTGGAACCTTCTCGTTATCTTCTAAAGAAGGCATTGGATGACAATGGAAGAAATAAGGACAGGAAAATCGGAACGCCTGACTGCCACGAAAAATTTATTCCGCTGAAGACTACTGGACACTGCGTAATACTGAACTTGTTAAATTCGGCAATTGGAAAAATTAGGGTTGTTGAAACAAAGTGAGGTTGTAACTACTTCTTGTTTAAATTTAGATTTAGCATAGGAGATATTTGTACGAAAATTGTTTGTGTATCGGAAAGGAGGGAGAAGATTTATAGGCAAAATTTG